AACACTGATAACTACTGTTGCCGTGATATAATTGATTAGAAAAAAAATCCCTTTATTTTCCCGTTTGGCAGTGCGTCGCCCATATCGCCCTAATGAACACACCGCCCCTGACTCACATACTGTATATCATCGGAATAGTTACTTCTCTGATTATGATAGAGGTTTCCCTTCAAATCAAATCAAATGTTATTTGTCACATACACGTGTTTAGCAGATGTTATTGCGGGTGTAGCGAAATGCTTGTGCTTCTAGCTCCGACAGTGCAGTAATAACACAACGTCTCCTAAGAGCTAGTAGCGAGGCCGCCATCCTTGTCGGCGCCAGCTACTAACTCTTCTGAGTTCTAGTCCTATTCTCAGCTAAAAGGGTCAATCCAGAGTTTAGTTCTGGGAACTGATCCCGAATCAAATGGGGGACGCTGATCAATGGCTAATCTGCATTGTGGGCTTCCTTATTAAAATGGCATGTTGAGGATTTATTCCCTGCTGTACGCCATGTATCTGGTGGGTAGAGAAGGGCAGCGAGTGGGAGGGTTTGATTATCTGCATCTATCATCATGGAGAAAGAAAGGGGTGAGGGATAGACCTTTACAGTCCTTGGCTATTATCTTCACCATCAACATGGAGGTGTAACCAAGGCTATACATCTGCTGGCTGGAGGTTGGCACAGATGCTATTTATTGCATTCTAATCAGATAGCAAAAGCATCACTCTCTGATAACACGTCAGAGATATAAGTGTGTGGGTCATCCAAGGCCTAAATCAAATGGAAGGAAGGACCACATATTTGGTCAAAGTAGATTATTAGTGATTGCTAAAGGACTCCGAACATCATAGTACTACACAGCACTTCAGCACTTAATGCTAAAATTAAACAAATTGCTTCTTCCTCCTAAGTGTTACTCTACTGTACCCCCACCCACTTTAGTAGCAAAAATTCTGCCATAATTTAGCAGACCTCGTTACAAGATCACTATAGCAACACACATTACCAATTCCAAAACAGCAATTTTCTAAATTTCCCAGCTTTGCTGCTTCTGCCCTGTAAATAACATCCATCCAGGGAATGTGTTGCAGCATTATCCTGACATATTCTGAGCAGCAATGCCTTGACATACAGTAGCTTTGTCCTTTCAAGTGCAAGCCTTTCAGGCATTTCCGCATCACCAAGACATGCTGTTCTGTTCTGTTCTGTTCTGAGCAGCCTTCCTTCCCCAATCTGAGAGTGTGTGCTTCAGAACCTGACGATGTAACTGCAGGCGTCAGAGAGCTCGCTGCACATGTTCCACTCTTACTGCTGTTATCTCTCTCCAATCTGTCACTTCTTTTCTCTTCTCTACTTCCTCTCATCCTCAGCCTGACTGAGAGATAGGGAGATCTCATCTGTCTGTTCTTTCAGCTCTAATCTGAGAGGTTCTCCCTCTCCCATCTCCCTCTTCTATCCTTCTCCCCAGTGGTAAAATGAGCCTGCAGGTATACTAGCTAACATATTTGCCATTCTATATGATGGGTAAAGTGATACTTTATCAATGCACTTCCTAGCTCTTCTTCTTTTTCATAATGTAACTGCTATCTGATTAGCTTAAGAAACAGACTCTCGTATGAAATACAACTCTTATTCGGTACATTTCACTCAATACTCAAAACTCAATATTCGTCAATAAGGATTTGAACACCAACACGGACAATTGGGTCTACTCATTTAGTATTTTTATTTATTACCTAAAAAAGAAAAAAATTCTATCACAAGTCACACTGAAATGTATTGCTTAAGAAAAAAAATATATTTATATATTTTTTTGTTTTTTTGGGAAACTTGATTTCCGTTATATTCCACCAAAAACAAAATAGGACATAGGAATTAGTCGTTGCTAATATCCCAACCACCTTGTCCCACTTATAAAAATGCACAAAGAAATACATAATTCACAGTTACCATTTTGGTTTCATAAATTAATACAGTCACACATGTGCTACACCGGTCTATAGCTAGAACATTGTACATTTTATTCTTGACTCTTGTCATTATTTTCAATGGTTGGCTACAAGAAATAACAGGCAACTTAAATGATGTGATCAGAACTCCACCAACAAACTGTTTTTTAAATGCCCTCCCCATCCCTTCTTTTGTCCCGTCCCATCTCATCTTTTAATCTTTTTTATTTTTTTATTTCACACATAAGTGAGGCACACACAGAGTATAGTTCATACATGTATACAAAATTCTATTAAATTTAGGGGGGAGTAAATTGTCCTTTGAAATGTCTTATCCAAGGAGACAGGAAGTGCATGTCATGTCGTCTCACGTCCTCAGAGGACACCTGCCAAGTCAGAGTCAGGCCACTTTGTTGCCATAGTTGCACATTGCAGTCAAAACTTCCACCTCAGGTACTTTGTTTTGTCAATGTGTTGCTTTTCAGCTTGTTGGTGGGCAGGACAGAGTGGGGGGTTTGGACAAAGAAGACCAACAAACATGGCAACACAATGGAGAAAATGGGAAAATCGATTGAGGAACAAACACAGATTACAAACGCATCAATATTAATTCACTCAACGTGCTTACCCCTAAAAACTACAGCTCTCATGTGGTTACAGACTCTTAAATGAATTAATTAATCAAAGTAAATAATTTGTTCATCTTATATCTGACACACACTGCAAGGGCAACGTTTAAGGCACAGAAGCCTTGACATAATAGACTTCACCCGCTAAAAGCACAAACAAGAGATGCCCAAATGCTCAGTGACAATAGCGTTGTGACAAAATACAGGTAAAGAAAGAAACAAATGCCCCCACCATGTCCCCCAGTCCACACCTGTCTTGTTTAGTGAAAGATAAGGCCACTTAAAAAAAGAAGAGGTTCACCAAACAAGTTAATCTCTCACTGCAAACTCTGTGAGTGCAATCATGGTAGGGTGGTCAGACATTGTGTGTTTCTCCATACAAGTTTGGGTTTGTGGATGTGTACGCTGGTACAATGGGTTTCCCTGTTAGTTAGCCCAAACATGCACCTTGTTGAACACTATGTTATTAAGTAGGCTGAGAGGGGTTATAGTTGGTTGCTGCCTGGGTCCTTGTCTCTGTGTTGAGGAGAAAGGTGTTGGTTGAACTAGCGTTCAGGGAGGAAAGTCGGTTGCTCATCACAGTCCAGGGAATGTTCAGTTCAGGGTAAGATATGAGTCCAGTCTTCTGTTTTGGTTTGCTTTGAGAATACTTGGAGCAGGACACTGCTGTTGTTTTTCAGAACATAAAAACCTAACCAACAAAAGCAGCTGATCATTATTCATGCATGTTTTACCTCCTTTACCACCCATTTCTCCTCTATTTGTTTTCTTCCAACAAAAAAAATTATCAGGATAATTCACACTTTTTGCATGCAAAGAAAAGTTACTATTTTCCCCCATCTATCAAAGTCCCATGTAGCAGCAAATCTCTTAGCAAGTCTGTCAAAGGCCTAATCTGATATGTGAGGGAGTCCACTGGTGGAGGCACTAGTTGATGAAAGAGGAGACAGGTTCCCTGCTTGGGATTTCTTAGCTTTCTTCCACCTCTCTTTTCCAATATTAGAACGTAGCTTGACGTAATCACATTTTTCTAACAAGGGCCTTGGTTAAAAGGGTGATGTTGGATCAAAAAGGAATATATCCGACATATGTCTAAATCATCTGAATGGTAAGGAATGGAGAGTATCGTCTGTACCGAACCTCCATGGTTTGAGTGACAAAAGGGGTGAATCAGCCCTCTCAATGAATATACACAAATGTCACACACACACACACACACACTTATAAACCCCTTCCAAATATCACACACATTTGAGATCCCCACCTATAAGTGAAATAGGTCTGTAAGACACAAGTTGGATTCAATGGGATTTTTTCTCCATTATTTGTTATGACCCTAATGAGTGAATGAGCTGATGAATGATCGGATGAATACGTTTGTTAGTTATCCATTTAATGAATGGTTTGACCCAAGCCAAACTGGACTAATGTTTTTTGAAAACAGCAGATGAAAAGTTAAATAAACAGATTTCTTTCCATATAAATTTTTTTATCATGATTTTAAAATCCTCTAAAGCACTCCATTAATATTCATTTTGTTTAGTCATTAATTCCTATTAATATCCTACTGTATGTCACTGAGGTTGCCGTTTATGTAATAGTCTGAACTTTAGTCAAATGACCATTTCATTGCTCCTCATATCCTACTTCCTGCACACGGACCTGCTGTTCCAAAATCATGAAAAATTGGCAAATCAATGACTACTTTTGAAACTGTTGATGAAAACCTGAATGCTTTGTGAACAATGCTACATAGTTCTTTAGAAAAAATAATAATACGTTTCAAATGAAAATAAAAAGATAACCCTATAAGTAAAAGTTGACTCTGGTCGGTGAAGTGGAGACCTAGAATGCCCATTAGAGTAGTCCAGGGATGGCTCTGGGGCCAGCGGTTATCTGTCTGTCTGTCCTGTCTATAGTTACACCACGGCCCCAGTCACCATCACTCCTGCTCACAAGTCCAGTGTGGATCTCTCTCCAGAGTTCTGCTTGAAAAAATCAATGAAAAAACCCCCCACACCAAAACACCACCACCACCATCCAAGTCTGCTATGCTCAGTTCTGTTTTTTTTATTCTCATAGGTAGTACGTATTTGCAGTCTATATGCATAACTGTAGTCTCGTAAGTTCAGACATATCCGTTCCCAGTCTAAATGTCAAAAATCTGTTTTTGTTGTTGTTTATTTCTAATGGTAGGAGGCTGTGGGGGACATGACAAGACGAAAGTCAGCAGGGAGCCTTTTGGTGTGACAGTTGGTTGTCACAGCGAGAGAAGAGGATGACTAGCTTTCTTCCCTCTCTCTCTTTTTTTCATGCTCCACACTCGGCTCCAGCCTGTTTTCCACACCTCCGAAAGCATCCCCAACTTCCTCTCGGTTAATCCCCAGAGTCTGCCTCTCCATTATCCAGCAAATCGGTATCCTCATCTTTATCATTAAGCCATGACGAACTCTGACTTCATGTCAGCCTTGACGTCGGGCTTCCACACAGAGTCGTCGAAGTCAAGGTCCATGGATCCCTCGCTGGACACGCTGCTGTTGCTGTTGCTGCGTCCCGCCTTGCGGTTGGGCAGCCAGTGGTAGGGCGCTCTGGAGTCCCGCCTCGCCTTCCTGCGCAGGCGCTTCTGCTGCATCAGGAGCTGCAGACGCTCCACCTTGCAGCGCGTCGCACGGTTCTCTGTCTGACGCACACGGTCACCTGGAGGAGGGAGGAGAGGAAAACAGAAGGTCAATTAACAGACCAAACCAGCTTTTTTCAAACAGTCATATTTTTCCATGACCTTTTGATACAACCTGCTTTGCAAGACGTACAGAGTACAGTAAATAAATAAAGCATTGGTAGGGGAGGTTGTATATGTGATGGAGGGGAGAGGGAACAGAGAGCTCTGTTCAATGTGTTTAGTGTGCATCCAGTGTTATCTACGGCCAGGCAGAGAATAAATAAACTCAGATTGGAGTGATTACTATGCTGTGACTCAGACAGAGAGAGACAAAAAAACATGCTGCTGTGATCATTCTTAAGGCTCTGAGACACACACACACACACACACTTGTACACCTAACCTTGTGGGGACATACAATTCAGTCCCATTCAAAATCCTATTTTCCCAAACCCCTAACCCTAAACCTAACCTTAACCCTAACCTTAACCAGAAAACCTAACTTTAACCCTAACCCTAAACCTAACTCTTAACCCTAACCCTAGCTGCAAACCCTAACCCTAAACCTAATTCTAACCCTAACACTCATTCTAACCTTAACCCTAAACCCCCTAGAAATAGCATTTGAACTTGTGGGGACCAACCAAATGTCCCCAGTTGGTCAAATTCTTGTGGAAACAAGTATAATTAAACACGTACACACTCCTGCACATAGAGACTTGTGTTAGTATCTGGAGTGTGTAGTGAAACACCCCACTGTGTTCTATTAGCCCTGTGTCCTTCTTCACAATCCCCTTATCACTGTTTGGGAGAAAATGATTGGGAAGACTCCTTGAAATCTTACTATCACAGAGAGAACACACACACTCATTCTTGCACACATACACACTACTGCACATACCCTCTAATTTCTGCCTATCATATGCAGACACATAACTACGACTGGCATTCCAAATGAGTGCCTTTGTCAGAGCTGTGTGACTAAGTGAATTTCTAGCTGTTGATGTGCTTATAGGAGAGGCTGATCTCCAGGGAGAGGCCTTTGGTTCCATTGTGAATGCCTGCCCACACCAACCAACTCAACCTTAATTTCATTTATAGGGAAGGGAAGGCAAAGACAATCTATTAGCTAGCTCCATTAGTATCTGTCTCGGAATGAAATAATGAAATAATGAAATAATGGCCTAGAATGTCAATAACCCAAAGCCCTCTCTCTCGAAAACACACAAACACGGACAAACACACAAAGCGCATCCACACACACACATGCAAGGACACACTCACGCACACACAGTCACACACACACAGGCATACACACACACATAAACACACAAGTACGTACACACTAACACACACAGCAGCCGCAGCAGCAGTAGCTTTTAACATGGATCGATGGCAAATTAAAAATACCTATTGATTAAACCTTAGCTCTAGTGCAGCCATCCATCTCCAGCCGAGGACACTGCTATTGGCTTTCAATAGAAAATGCAAGCGAATGGAAATTGTAAGTGAAGAGAGCTTGACTTTTTTTTCTCTCTTCTTCTTCTTCTTCTTCTTCTTCTTCTTCTTCTTCTTCTTCTTCTTCTTCTTCTTCTTCTTCTTCTTCTTCTTCTTCTTCTTCTTCTTCTTTATGGCTGCAGCATCCTGCTCCCAGCTCATTGACTCAGCCCCCATCCCACTGCCTCCCCCTACCTCTCTACCCCCAGCCCACCACCCCCCTTCATGGGCCAGTCTCCCCAGAGAGGGCTAGGTGGGGCGGAGGGGTGAAGGGGTGGAGGGGAGGGGCGGGGCGGGGCTGTGGAATTCCGCCCCACGGGTGATGGGGAATGGGGGAGGCGAGGGTAAGGGATCAGATGTAGCTGGCAGTTTTTCATAATCAATTGTGCCCTCCCTCCTCCTCCTCCTCCTCCTCCGCTTTCCCCATCGGAATGAATTCCTGACTCTGTGTGGGCTTAATTTACCTCTTCCCTTCATTTGCTTATCGGATTGAGCAGAGCGATTCTCTGGCTATAAATATTCACTACTCCTGGCAATGCATGCTAACTAACTCTCAGCCCTGCTGGTGCTTTAGGAAGAATAGAGCTGAATGGAGGAGCAGCACTGCATTAAACAGAACAAGGTCTATTTTGCACAACTTATTCTATGTTTTCCTCACTAGATAAGACTGTGTCTACATGAGGTCCTATGCCACAGGACTATATTTCCTGCCTGGTGTGTATTATAGGTGGTAACTAGTGGGTTCCTGTGTGTTAGGGGCATTGTTCAGCTGCCTGCATGTGACGGCTATACATTCTGCCAGGGGCTTTGTTCCCCCTGCGCCCCCCTTCCCTCCTCTCCTCCCCTCTCCTCGGCTAAGTCATTACAGAGCTCCCTTCAATTACACAGAAAAGAAACCCCACCACATGCCCTCTACTTTCTCTCCTCTCCAGCTGCCCTCTCTCCCTCGCTCTCTAGTCTAAAGCCACAGACAAACGTGGGGTTGTCTCCTGCACCTCAAAGCTGGTCAGGCATGGGTCACATAGCTCAAGCCCGGCTTAATGAGGAGTGACTGGAGCCTGGGGCGTGGACTCATTATAGAACACACACACACACAGGAGGGAGGGAGGGAGGGAGGGAATGATAGAGGTGGATGGGGGCAGGGAGAAAGAACACAAAGGCATAGCACAATCACTAGCAGGGTGAAACCCTTCACATCTTCCTTATTGTTGGTTTCTCTATGGCCTGACACACACTGCTCTTCTGACGCACTCAGCACCGAGGAGGAGGAAGTAACTACACATCTTTTCTTGGAAGCCACCACATGCAAATATTAGGCAAGGGACCGGTCAGGAGCAGAGAGAACAAGGAACATACAACAGAGGGCATTCCCTCCCTCTCTTTTTTCCTCCTCCCTCCCTCCCTCCCTCCCTCCCTCCCTCCCTCCCTCCCTCTCTTTCTCTCTGGTCACGCAACCCTCCTGCACCCTGTGCTGCTCCTCCATCAGCACTGCATCGTCTCTACCCGTCACCCCTTGAAGCGGAGCTGTGTGTGTCCTCAGTACACACTCAGGGCTTTCATAGGCCCAGAAAAAGCCTACAGAGACTTAAGGCATTGACAGGAGTGCACCACAGACACAGAGCTGTAGCTGACTGAGCCATGAGGACAAAACCCACTCAAGCCCCCCCCCCCCCCCCCCCCCCAGGGCAGGCCACAGAGGACCACGTACGACATGGTGCAGGGACAGAGGGGCACAACAAAACAAACCCCATGGGAGGGGTGTGGGTGGTACTAGGGGTGGTATGGAGGGGGGAGGATGAAGAGATTACCACAAAAGCCCCTGTGGAATCCCAGAACTCCACCCAGCCAAACCAAACACTCCGCACCCTCTACTGTTTCCGAGAATGACTGCATACACTCCATAAACACACAGGCTACTTTACATACAGTACTGCATGCAGGTTGGGGGTGGGGGGTATCTCAGCTGGGCTGTGGCAGTAGCAACTGACCACCATTTTGCGCGAGAGAGAGAGAGAGAGAGAGCGCGAGAGAGAGAGAGAGACAGAGACAGAGACAGACAGAGAGAGAGAGAGAGAGAGACAGAGAGAGAGAGAGAGAGAGAGAGAGGCTAGTCTATGAACAATCAATATGTCAGTCAGCCTCCTGGCCTTCTAGAGCCCATCCAAAGAGGGGGATGAAAGGAGGGATGGAGTGAGGGACAGAGAGAAGGAGGAGGGCTGCGGTAGGACAGATACAGAGGAGATTAAAGGAGCTTCTCCTCCTATTGATCCCTTAAAGATTCCGCTTCAGTAACAGTTGTCCAAGTGTTGTTGATTGTTTGTTTGCCTTGATAATTCTTGTGATGTTATAGAAGGAGAGTGTTCTTTGCCGAGCATCAGGGCCCAATTTTTCAAAAGTTATCTATCTGGATTTCACCTATCCAATAGGATTAAATGCATAGAAATATAATGAATAGAACGGACGAATCCTTGACTTGAATGGAGACTCCTGTTCTATTCATTTTATTTCTATGAATGTAATCCTATCTGATAGCTGAAAAAACTGGGCCCCATCGGATCAGGTGGAGTGGGTGAAGGCTCAAACTGCAGCAAAAACAGCCTGGGTTTAAATACAGGAAGAACCTTGCTTTTTAAGTACTTGTAGTAAATCCTACCACGTTCTGCAGTAGCTGAATGGGACCTGATCCTTGTATCCAGTGGTGGAGCCCCAACTATTCTACTTAATTTTGCGTGTTCACTGAAAACATACTACATTCACACAATTCCCATTTATTCCCCAATAATAACCTGACACTCTTAGGCAACCCTCTGTGGCTTTGCCTTGCTCCCTGGGCTCCTCTACTCTCCTAGTCATCCATACATCACTACAGCTACAGGCCCATCATCCAACTCAGCCACATGTCATTCCTGTTTGGCCTGGGCCCTGAGCACAGCCCAGAGGCTAACAGGGCTGGGGAACACAGACAGCACACAGCCCTGCTTTTGTTCTGCCATCCATCCTAGCCATCTGGAGCCCAGGGAAGAAGACAGAGAGACAGAGAGAGGAAGAGGTAGAGGAAACCCAGAGGAAAAGAAAGGGCCAAACTGAAGGAGTCAGACCAGTCAAAGGGAGCGAACGTCCCCGTTTTGACAGGCATTGAAAGGGCATCGACAGCCCTGCAGGGGCACGAGCTCTTAAATGACTTTTAGACGCAATTAACATTTTATCTTCTTTCTTTCTCCCTCTCTCGCTCTCTTGTCGTTAGCCAATGAAAGGGCACCTGACGCGGTTGGTTAGCTGGCACTGTTATAGGTCGAGGCTGATTGGCCGGGGATGGGGTTAGACGGCTCGGTTACTGTTGCTCAGCAGTGTGTGTGTGTGTGTCACTGGCCAGGTGGCTGTTTACATGCTCGCTGACAGCCAGGCGATGCTGGTCAATGAATTATGCATAGTGCCCTGGTGCCCTAGCTTGGTGGGTCAACCACGCTGAAGCACGACAGACAGAGGCAGCAGGGTGAGGGCTCAGGGCACCTGGTCAGGCCGACACTGATACCCACACACACACGTCAGAAACGAGGAGAGGAGACAGACATAATCCAGAGATGAAGAAAGGACTGAGACAAAGGTTAAAGAATAGGGGAGGACCTGGTGAAGAGATTCCACAGTAGAACAGAGCTAGCAGTTCAGAATTAGCCATGTTGACAACTCTAACGCGAGGCAGTGGCAGACTACAGAGCGTTAACATTTCAACACAGATTTGTCTTCCAGTAGAATGCACCCACTGCAAAGGCCATTTGCTCTGGGCTGGATTAAACAAGCTGGGAGAGGAATTTAGCCATTCCCACCCAATCCCTCTCTCGCTAGCTCTCTCTCTTTCCTTCTCTCTCGCTCTCTTTCTCTCCGTGCACACACAGCTCCACCCTGCCTCCCTCAGCCAGAGCCAGAGCTAGACTAACCCGACCTGACAGATAGTGAGAAGATGAGAAGGAGGAAGAAACAGGAGGGGGAGGAGAGGAGAGATACCCCCTCCCTTCCTTTTTTCAGGACTCATTTTGTTCCCTTTTTCCCTATCTGTTGAACCAAGCAGCTGCAGAGGGAGTGGGTCTTAAAACGAGGTCTAATCCTGAGGTATGGAGGGCTCCCTCACTCCCTCTTTTCCTCCCTGTTTTTCTCTTTCCTTCTCTCTCCCTTCTTCTCTGCCCTACAATGGCTAAGCCTGGCTCCCTGTATGGAGCCTGGGTCACAGCAGACAGACAAAGGACTGGGCTGGGAAGGGGGCTAGGGGTCCCACTGAGCACAGGAATTCAGCTAACAATTAGCCTAACACCCCCTTCTAAAGCCCTCCCCTCAGAACCTAGCCACAGGCCCTGCCTCTGGCCCTGGGCCTAAGAAAGACCTGCACGCAGCAGTCACCACCACCAAAATCAGCCATGCTGCCACCCCACAACCAAAACCAGACTTTTCTAGCTAGTTCGCTAGGGTAGCTTTTCCAGCTATCTCCGGATGGACCGAAGCTCTTTATTCAAAGCCCTCTTCTCTCCTCCTGTCTCTGCACATGAACTTGCAGTGGAAAGGGTAAAAGCTCTCTGGATATAGCAGAGCTATGTGACATTTTCAAGAGGCTGTCTCAACCTGAGGTAACGTAACACAAACATTAAAGGTCTGGGAAGGTACTAAGCAGTAAGCATAAGTTATTCCTGTAGTCCAATGGAAGCGGGCTTCTACGAAGAGTTAAGCTGTCAAGTCTTTCACCAGGTGTTGGCTGATAAGAGCGTCGTCTCAGGGTTTTATCGGAACACTTAGTCATCTGCCTTCTAAAATGTTCCTCACCAAGCATTCCGAAGTCACAAAGCCAGCCAGACAGACAAACAGACAGCTTCAGTCCATACAGAAAAGCCCCAGCTCATTAATTAATAAGTGAGTGGATTCAGCCGGTCGCCAGTCTGACTCGAAAGGCATTTATTAAGCCCTTTTTTGTTTTTTCAGTGAAAGCACAAATTAATCTGTGGGCAGTTAGCAGAGGCCGGATATAAACAACAATCTTATGAAAGGAGGTTTAGTGTGTGTGTTGTTTTATCTTCCTCCCACTGCCCTACAAACACAATGCGCATTCTTTCAGCACTCAAATGTTTTGCATAAATCTATCTATTTAAAGTCAGAGTGAACACAAGCGGCCATTGATGGTGTCCAGGGCTGGACGAGACCAGAGAGAGATGGATTTTATAGATGAGGCTAGTTTTGGACAGCGACTGAGGAAGCAGTGGGACGGCCCATACACGGAAGAGACGGGGGGAGAGTGGAACAAAGAAAGAGAGAAAAAGCAGGGGATGATGGCTGAGTGGAGGAGTGGAAGAGGAGTAGTGGTGAGGGAAGGGGGCTTCCTGGGTTAAGAAAATAAGCACGTATTATTCAACTGTGCAGAACTTTTTTAAAGGGCTCACTGGGTACTGCAGAGTTCCCTGGGTGTTCGGTGAACAATGCCAAGTTACAATACATGTGCTGATGTCAGTCCTTTTCTACCATGGACAATGGAATTCATGTTTTTCTTTCAAACAAAGAGACCACATAAAACTTTAATCGGGGCCATTCAGAGATCCTACTCCACTATCCATCTCTATTCAACATGTAACAAGAGCAGACTCATGGAAGAACAGTTCAATTTCCTCTGCAAAGTTTAAACAAGCAGAGTGGGGACAATGCGCTTCCGCACTAAGACTACCTGACACATGCCTGTGAATGTTATCAGTGGTGAGGATCTGTCATAGCCTCTGTGTGGAGGGCAGTAATCCCCGGTCCGGCCCTCCAAGGGGTAAACCTATGGCAAGGGGTAAACCTATCCTCTCAGCCCAGAGACAAAAACAAAGACAGGTCTTCTGCTGCAGCTGGGTCTGCTGGAACAGGCCTAGAGGAGCTTCTCCACCCCCTCCTACTCCTCTCCTCTGCCCTTCCAACCCCCGCAAAAACATCTGCCAACCTCTGTATTCCCTTTCTTTCTCTTTCCTTTTGAGCAAGGATCTGAAAAGTCATTCTGAGAGTTGAAAGAAAAAGCTTGTTTATCATAATTGTGTTTATCAGAACTGGCATCTGATCCAATTGTGTTATCGAGTCCAGCAAAACATGTGGGTATAATAAGTTGAACAGCATTTGAATAGAAACACAACCGCAGAAACAAAGCTGTTGACGAATCCTCTTATGGGCTCTACAATAGACAAGCGGCTCATCTAAATTCCTGCACAAGCTCTTGACTAGAGTCGTTTCTATCACTCTCATCTACAACAACAACATCTGTTGCTCTGCTGCAAGGGGCTCAAAGACAGTGAAGGGCCTGTTGTGTGTGTGTGTGTGTGTGTGTCTGTGTGTGTGTGAAAACACAGCTGTCTGTGTGTGTGTGTGTGTGTGTGCATGCATGTGTGTGTATGGGATGTTATTAATGCTCACCAGGGGGCTTGCACATGCGGATCTGACTCTGGCACTGCACCAGCGGGTGGAGGGGTGGTGAGATGGGGCTTCTGGCAGGCACCGAGGTAGCTTTGGCAGAGATGCCGGCGATGCCAGCGGTGGTGGCTGGGGGCGAAGGAGGGGGTGAGGGCGGCGTGGATGCGGGCGAGGGCGAGCCACACTGGGTCTGGTAGCGGAGCTGGGTGAGGGAGGGGGGCACGCCCTGGTAGTGGCGCGTGGCACTCAGGAGGTCATTGAGGATCTGCAGGATGGTGCCGATGTCTCGCCTGGGCCGCCCAGTGCTGTCCTGACAGTTAGGATGCAAAGTGCCTGAGAGAGGGAAGGAGGGAGAGAGAGAGAGAGAAAAAGAGAGAGAGAAAAAGAGAGAGAGAGAGAGAGAGAAACAGACAGAGAAAAAAAGAGAGAGAGAGAGAGTAGAGAGAGAGGAGAGAGAAGGAGAGAGAGAGAGAGGGAGATGAGAGAGAGAGAGAGAGAGAGAGAGAGAGAGAGAGAGAGAGAGAAATGGAGGGTGTTACAAACCACTACAACTCCCCTCAGCTCCAATCTAACCCCAGATAACACCCCCAGACCAGGCCCAGTAGGACACAGTAGTAATCTGAGCCACTGATAGAGTGCAACGCCATAGTCTTCGAGTTAATGCCTTAGTGTTAGTGTAATGCTATTGGCCCTCACTCACCTGAAAAAGTCCCTGAGAAGACCCCAGGAGCGTGGTTGACAAAGCTTTCGATGATGGCACCTGGTTTACGGGAGGAGGAGGAGTGCGCTGAAGCACTAGTGCCATTACTGGCGCTCTTAGCACAGTTAGCCTGTAGAGGAGAGGAAAGGATACATCAGTCTAATGTTAGAGATAAACCTTCAACAAACCAACACTCTGCCTGCAGTGCGTGATAGGAAATATACAGCCACTCGACAGTAGTTATTAGCAGTGCCTTGCAAAAGTATTCATCCCCCTTTGCGTTTTTCCTATTTTGTTGCATTACCACCTGTGATTTAAATGGATTTTTATTTGGATTTCATGTAATGGACATACACAAAATAGTCCAAATTGGTGAAGTGAAATGAAAGTCCACTTGTGTGCAATCTAAGTGTCACATGATCTGTCACATGATCACAGTATAAATACACCAGTTCTGAAAGGCCCCAGAGTCTGCAACACCACTAAGCAAGGTGCACCACCAAGCAAGCGGCACCATGAAGACCAAGGAGCTCTCCAAACAGGTCAGTGACAAAGTTGTGGAGAAGTACAGATCAGGGTTGGGTTATTAAAAAAATATCAGAAACTTTTAACATCACACGGAGCACCATTAAATCCATTATAAAAAAATTGAAAGAATATGGCACCACAACAAAAATGCTAATAGAGGGCCGCCCACCAAAACTCACGGACCAGGCAAGGAGGGCATTAATCAGAGAGGCAACAAAGAGACCAAATATAACCCTGAAGGAGCAGCAAAGCTCCACAGCGGAGATTGGAGTAGCTGTCCATAAGACCACTTTAAGACGTACACTCCACAGAGCTGGGCTTTACGGAAGAGTGGCCAGAAAAAGCCATTGCTTAAAGAAAAAAATAAGCAAACATGTTTGGTGTTCGCCAAAAGGCATTTGGGAGACTCCCCAAACATATGGAAGAAGGTACTCTGGTAAGATGAGACTAAAATTGAGCTTTTTGGCCATCAAGGAAAACGTTATGTCTGGCGCAAACCCAACACCTCTCATCACCCCGAGAACACCATCCATGGTGGTGGCAGCATCATGCTGTGGGGATGTTTTTCATCGGCAGGGACTGGGAAACTGGTCAGAATTGAAGGAATGATGGATGGCGCTAAATACAGGGAAATTCTTGAGGGAAACCTGTTTCAGTCTTCCAGAAATTTGAGACTGGGGCGGAGGTTCACCTTCCAGCAGGATAATGACCATAAGCATACTGCTAAAGCAACACTTGAGTGGTTTAAGGGGAAACATTTAAATGTCTTGGAATGGCCTAGTCAAAGCCAGACCTCAATCCAATTGAGAATCTGTGGTATGACTTAAAGATTGCTGTACACCAGCAGAACCCATCCAACTTGAAGGAGCTTGAGCAGTTTTGCCTTGAGGAATGGGTAAAAATCCCAGTGGCTAGATGTGCCAAGCTTATAGAGACATACTCCAAGAGACTTGCAGCTGTAATTGCTGCAAAAGGTGGCTCTACAAAGTATTGACTTTGGGGGGGGTGAATAGTTCTGTTTTTTTGGTCTTATTTCACAATAAAAAATATTTTTCATCTTCAAAGTGGTAGGCCTGTTGTGTAAATAAAATGATACAAACCCTCCAAAAATCAATTTTAATTCCAGGTTGTAAGGCAACAAAATAGGAAAAATGCCAAGGGGGTTGAATACTTTCGCAGGCCACTGTACGTGGTCATATAAGACGCATATAGAACATGCTACTGAAATAGAACAGTTTATTACAAGTGATGAAGTGGCAGTGACTTGAACCTCGTGTTGTAACATGCATGTTATAATTCAGCAATAAGGCCCGAGGAGGTGTGGTATTGGCCAATATACCACGGCTAAGGGCTGTTCTTATGCACGATACAACGTCACAAACCCCTGAGGAGCCTTATTGCTATTAGAAACTGGTTACCAACGTAATTAGAGCAGTAAAACTAAACATTTTGTCATACCCGTGGTATACGGTCTGATATACCATGGCTTTCAGCCAATCAGAATTCAGGGCTCAAACCACCCAGTTTATAACAGCCATGTTGTAACAGCGAGTGATGTTGTAAGTAACCCTAATGTAAACCATGTCGTTCCTCGTATAGGGACACATAAGACTCAGAAGAACCTGAGTCCTGGGAGCTCCTTTTACTGTCCCTGACAACAGACCTATCTGTTACCTGCCCTGCTCTGCTCTGTGAACTGAAAGTGAAAACCTACAGGAGGATGAGGGGGAGCGAAAAGGGGAGTGGTAGGGGGATGTTTCAGAGTGAAGAAGAAATATGACCGTTTCCTTTTTCACTGTTCTATGTGAGTTCAGAAGAAGAGAGCGAGAAGGAAAAAAACTACCAAGTTGGTGGAAATCAACTGTCATAGATAGCCTAGCTCCATGCTGCAGAGAGATAGAGGCCTGCTGACCAGCGAGAGGGCTAATGATCAACAAGACAACAACCTACACAGACTAACTCATTAACTCCTCTCCCGCTTTCTTTCTTCCCTCTCTTTCTTTCATCCTTTCATCTCTCCTGGTCTCTGGCGAGGTAATGATGGTGTGTGCTGTTTTCTGGCCCGCCTTTGTGTAAGTGTGGTATGCACTGAGTAATACAGTGTTATAAAGCAGTAGGTAGGTTGATTGGTTGGCGGGGGTCTTACCTCAGGACAGGGGGCTGCAGTGGGGGTGCTCTGGGGGGCGGAGGCGGGGCTGGGGCTGGGTCGGCCCGGGGAGGGCTGGTGGGAGCGACGAAGAGCAGGAGGAGGGGTGCTGCAGTGACTTGAGGGGGCGGAAGAGGAGGAGGGGTACATGGGAGGAGAGCGCTGGTGTGAGGAGGCAGGGGGGAAGGCCACTGTGCTGGTAGAGGGGGAGGGCACTGGGTGGGGCTGGGACAGGTTAGGATGGGGGCGGGAGTGGGGGTGAGAGTGGTGGTGGTGGGGGGTGGTGGCGCGGCTGAACCCTCCAGACGCTCCTGTGGACGGTCCCATGGTGCCCTCTGCACCCCCGCGGGCGATGAGCTGCCTGTGCTGTAAGTGCTGCCCTCCAGACTGCTGGGCAGCCAACTGCAGCTGGACGAACATCATGTGATCACCCACTCGCAGCGCCAGGGTCAGAGGAGAGCGGCCGGACAGGAAGTCACTGACCTGGAGACAGGAAGAGGAGGAGAGAGTTGAGTCACCTAGTTCATGGACTACAGACTACAAAAACTCACTATACATTGAATGCTTATGCAACATACATTAAATGCATACTAACAAAATGTTTAATATACCAGATATAGGTAGGTCTATATGTACACACCAAGAGAAGGCCTGTTAGCGCTACATCATTGTTTTCCAGGCTTGGGGCTTTGTTAATGAGTTGAACAAAAGCACATGTATGGATGTGAGAGCAGAAAGACAGAACAGTGCATTGAGCTGCATTGAATTGCCCCAGCAGAGAGGCTGATACACCACACTATCCCATCCTGTAATCAATCACTGCCCTGGACACTGAAACACTGGGCTATTAACATTTGCTGGGGGGGATGAAGGGAGCCATTGGAAAACTCACAGAACACACACACATCTAAACACACACAATCAAGCATGCACACTGGTGCACACATATACACCACGCCCACCCACTCCCGTTCCCAATGCCCCTATAGTCCAGAGTCTGAACCTCGTTCCCAGACGTACAAAGGCCACCCTTCTGTCTGGCCCCCGGCCTGAAAAATCAGAACTTCGATACAGGATGCACCCGCCCCACAGCCTCACACACTCATAATACCCGATTGTTTGATGGTCTGCGGCAGATCTTGAAGGGCTGCCCATTTTAGTAGCACCGAGAATGGGCCCCTGAGCCAAGAATGGAGGCCCTGACCCACTCACTCCAGGGCACACCACAGAGAGCGTTGTCACGACTTAGTGCCACACTGCTCCTACAATCTCCCTGTTGTCTCACCCTCCCATGCCCAGAGGAGACCTTGTTACTGCTCTGGTGGTGGTGGTGAAGGGAGAACATTGACATCATTCCGAAGTTGGAGTGTATTTTATCTCGCTTCAGCTAAAATAATGTCCGCCATTGATTTCAAGAAATGTTGTGTAATTTTTTACATGGTTGCGTCAGATTTCTGTGTATACTTTCTGTTGAAGCTTGCATCGATGCTACAAAATATGTACAAACTGAGTAAGCATTCGAGAAGTGCCCTCTGTGCTCCGTTTTGCATACTTTGATTTGGACTCATACTCCGACCCTCCCGTGCTCCAAGTTACGTGCTCAGAGCATGGTAGTACGCATTTTGAGAAACACCCAGGGACTGATTATGATGGTGATGATGACTAATAGGAGCACTGAAACATAATAGTGATGTTCTTAGTAAGGGCAGGCATGAGAAAGCAGAGGACAAGCATGAGGTGAGATGGCTCTAGTAAACTCCTCACACAAAGGTCACCTGTGAGTCAACCAAGTGGGACAGGGAGAAAAGAGAGAGGGAGGGAGGAGAGGAGAGGGGGATGGAACAGAAGGAGGGGGTAGCTGATTGTGTCCCTGACTGACAGCTGTCAGGAGAATGAGTAGGCAGTTTGCAAAACCCCGTCACACACACAAAAGAGAACGAAAAAAACACACACACACACACACAAAGCCAAAGGCCTTGAGGGAGTCACAGCGCTGTGTTTGATTTGGGTGGAGGAGGGGGGGGTGGGACTAAAGAGGAGAAGAGCGAGGGGGATGACACATCAGTGTGGTTGCGCTGAGAAAGAGGAGAGAGAACAATTGAGAAAGAGAGGAAGAGAGAGGCATTCCATCTCCCTTTAAAGACTAGTGTGGATTATTTAAAAAAACACCAAGATGAGCTTCATGATGCATTCATACTGAGCTCCCAACCCCACCTCTAATTAGACTCTCATATATGCAAGCTCCCCCTCTCCTGTTTTCTCTCTCTTTTTTTCTTACATCCCTCACTCCCTTGGTACATTTGTCACTCCTGGCCCTGGCGTCTCAGTGGTTGACTCATAAAGCCAATTCTGATTCTGAAGTTCTCACCTAAACCCCACGAACGAGACTGTGTGTCTCACACACACGTAACACTGTGTGTGTGTGGAGCTCTCCCCTCTGTAACCATCAGCTTACACACACACACAACGCCAACTGCCCACCACAATGTTCCCATTAGGTAATAACTGAAAAGGCCACAAGCCCACATAAACAAAAGCATTAAGCGACTTCAGCAATGGCTACAGAACTCTCAGCCTGCCCTTTAAATCTCTCACTCTCAGGTCTTTGTGGTCCATGCCTTATTTTCCCACCAGAAATAAACGAGGAACCCAAATAAGCCCCTGGGCTCGGAATTCCAACCTGGGTCTGATCAGTCATTCCGCACCCCCATCTCAGATTGAAAGGGGAGGACAGGACGGGAGACGGGACAGGCTGCAACTCGGAGCCGGGGATGGAGCCGGGGGTGGAGCCAGAGGCTGTGGACTGGAACACCTGAAATAGGTCAGTCTTCGGAGAGATGGGAGGTAACACTAACAGTTAACAGCCAGGGGGTACATGCTGCAGGAGAGGCTGTTGAAACCATCATGTAAAAACAGAGATGTCTCAAATAGAGTATCACTACCTAGAAAACCACAAATCCCTGTCCGTACACGCCATTCTGCTCTCCTGAGACAAGTCAGTATGACGTTGATGTCAGGGACAAAAAATTATAGGATTTCTAGAACCAAGCAGACAAAGAGCCTCTCTCAGAGTTGTCTTTGAGCCTTCAATCGCCTTCCTCCTTGGTGTCTTTACAAATTCCAAAGCCCTAGGAAGACAGTCGCTCCTGTCAGGCAGGACATCAGATCCAGTAGAGGAGAATGGCAGTGAGCTAGGGCCCCAGTTTTGTTATGTTTAGACAGAAAGGAATGGCCTCCTCATTGTTCCTATCATCCTGACGCAGTGAGAATGGTATGCGGAGCGAAGGGCGAGGACAAACCATAAGAACAAGGTGTCCATTTGTCTGACAAAAAGTGTACTCTAATCAGTACATTTCATAGACAGTGCTGTGATAAGTCAATGATAGCCTATCAGCTATTTGGGTGTTTGAGAAGGAACAATAGCACTTTATGAACGACACTCGGTTCTCTGTTCATTTCAACCTGACCTCCCACCATCTTGCTCCATCTGCCATTTTGTTTGGTTGTTGGGGGAGTAGCGACTGGGGTGGCATTTTGTGTAGCCGTAGCAGCAGGCTTTGGTTGCTATGCAGTGAAAGGAGAATATGATAAGCAGAGACCGGGGAGGAGGGATGGGGGATGGATGGGGGGATGTAGTAGGGATATGGGGGTAGGGTGTCAGAGAGGAGATGGTGGTGGATGGTGATGAAATATTCAGTGAGAGTGTGCTTCTGGATGCTTTTCTCTTTTTTTCTCCAACTCTGTGGCTGGCCGTTTTAGTTATTGGGGTCCCTGTGGTTCAAGGAACTCATTTGCAGATGTTTTTCCTTTGCACACTAAGTGTACTGAGAGAGAGACGGAGAGACGGGGGGAGGGAGGGAGAGAGAGAGGGAGCTGGGAACAGGACTGAGCTGACATTCATGAACAACTGAGCAGCGTTTGCGTCAGAGACCAGAGAGGATAGGGATCTGTGGGAGGGTTCAAGCGAAGGAATCGCCCTTCTCCTTCAGCTGCATTACAGCTGAGAAGCTCCTGGTCAACCTATCAAACAGCCAGGTGAAGAAGGGATGGGGAGAGCTGGAGTTCAGAAACCAGCTTATTAACCCACCTATCGACATAGATGTTTTGATCGCACCGGGAAACTATTGATACGCTGTTTGTGCAGAAAGGTGCTGGGTTAAGAAGCAATAACATGGTTCTCAAAAGAGAATAAAAAAATCTATGCCGCTTGCATCATGCTCCAAATCCTAAAAGCAGGCCCCGTCTTCAAAAGACCCCATCATTGGAGAGATAGCCGTCTGTAATAGTGCCCGACAGGAAACAGAAAGCAAAGAGGGTGAATGAGAAACAGAAAGCCAGCTGTCCATCAGTGAATTTGATGAGCTGGGTGAAAAAAAAGAGACAGAATGGCATAATGATCAGGTTCCTGTTTCCAGCCCTCCATCCCCCCCTCCATCCCCCCGGCCCTCTACATTACCTCTGTTTCCAGTCAAGCACAATGGCTTTGAAGGTTCTAAGGCAACAGAGGCAAAGCAATCCACTTAAAAACGGAGTCTATTCGCTCGCCTTGCCATATCACAGCACCTGCTGCTATTGCGAATGCGTCCCTCGCTCATACACACTCTTTCCATTCTCTGGGCGATCAAAGATGGTGCAACACCAATGCACAAGGCCTATGATTCCAACTGATGAATACATTCTGACCGAGTCTCTGTGATAAGAGGAGGAGAAAGAGAGAGAACGAGGGCCAGGCTTAACCACATGCTGGCTCTACAACAGGACAGAGAAATGAAAGGAGCATAGATGAATAAAACATTTGGAGTAGATTGAAACCTCATTCGTTATTATTCCACAGTGCTGAGATGCGGTAGCAGGTAGGGTTTGTGTGTATATTTTGTACACAGGGAGATGGGCTATCTGTTCTACCGAACAAGATATTCATGGCCTCCACCGCCTCCCAGACACTAGCCCAGTCAGTCACGATCACCATGCTGCAGGAGCACTTGAAGCACAAAGGTGGCCAGCCGATGAAAAACAGTGATGGTCACGACATACACACACTCACGGGCTCTTTCGCTCTTACTCTCTCCCACATACAAGCACACACACACACACAATAGGACAAAGAAAATATCAGCAAATCCATCTCCCCCATTTCTCAAATACACCTTGACACCCCTCCTCTATGTGCCTGTCTGAATCACAAAGAGATTACACAGGTGCAGAAACACTCCAGCAGCTTATTAATGCGTTCTCAGGCTAGGATTTATAGGGAACAGAAACAAATAGTCCCTCTTTTCACTATTGTCTTTCAGTCAGTCAATATACAATTAGATTTACACATTCAGCTCCGAATTAATAGCATTCATTTACGCGGAAAGGGAAATTACCATTTTAAAGGCAAGACTACTGCCTGCATACAGAAAACGTTGATTTGAAGTAGGAAGACAGCAGGCTGGTTTTATAGATGGACTGATGCTCTCATATTGAAATGGTGACTCAGTCATTTTTCCATTTCTTCCACTCCCGAATCCTCAATACAATTAAAGAACAATGATTTCCAGTAGCGTCTGACTGGCTGATGAACTACCATCTTGATAAGGTGAGTATAGGGCAGGGGTCTGGAAAAATAAACATATTGACCAATTGCATTGAGCAGACACAAACGTGTGCACGCAAACACGCACGAGTACATCACACACACACACAAACACTTTATGATGTACTTCTAATACCTTATCTAGAAAATAACAGTAAAATATGACTATAAGGTGCAGGTGTGGCTAAGCACATGAACATGAATGAACCATATAGTTAATAGACCTGTGACAAGACAAGGCCTTATCAGAGTGATCTGAGATAGCCCACCATCAGCACACAGAACACTCCTCTACCTCGAGGTGACCTTTTCCCTTCTCCTTCTCCTCCTCCTTATCACCCTCCCTCCTTCTGCCCATCTGCTTATCTTTGAGTCACGCCTATCCTTCCAAACATCCTCCCTCTGTGGTTCAGAACAACCTGTACACAACACGCCACAATGCCTTAAAACGAATGCCGTGACTCACCAAGGCCATCTATACCTCCCTCCACTCCCTGCCTTTCCATCCCTGCATTCCCCCTGCCTGGCCCGGCCCGCCACGCTCCCTGTGGGAGGGCAGTGGGTGGAAATGACAAGAAGGGTGACCCAGAGGTGACTCATATGACCCAGAGGTGACTCATATTGTTAGATCCCACTATTTGCATCTGTCCGTTTTCAGACACAATAACAATGCTGGGTCTTATTCAGAGCCCAGCGGAGGCTGGTGGAAGAGGGTGTTGGGAGAAGGAGGTGAGAAAACGTAGAGCAGAAATGTAACAATGTACTCCTCAGGGACTTGGCCAAGACATCGCCTCCCCAAAGACAATATGTGTACTTCCTCCAGGACAATATGGCAATCTTCTCCTCCCTAACGTCCTCCCTCCTATCCTTCCAGCTGGGCTATACATTGATTTTGAAATGGCCTTGTAGTGCTGTTTCACTCAATTGGCTCCAGCCTATGTGGAAAACAGAATCATCGTGGAGACCTGAACCTAAATCTTGACTCTCTGTCATTATTTTGTATTGGAGGGTCGGTCAGCTAGGCAGGTTTTGTGGATTTGACTGGGGTTTATGCTTTAAAAGTGGAACAAAGGGAGAGGTGGGGGAACGGAAGGGCAATGTATGGGGGATGGTTAGGTTAGGTGGCTTGGTTTCATACAAGCATCAATGAGCAAACACTCACTATAACATACAAAGGACTGGACAATCCTTATTTTCCAAACTAAAACAACATCAAGCAATAGCAGCTAATGAAGCTGACTGTGACCAGCCATGGTAAACATTACTCTTCATCTACCTACCATATTTCTCATACACAGACATTACATCACTATACTCTGTCTGAGTCCAAGCTCGAAGGGGCATTTTCTCATTCTTCCATCAACAGAAGAAAGCCTCTTAAATACAGTTTGCTCCACAGACAGACACAATCCCAGGCTCAGCTCAACCTAAGCCTTTCTCGGGAGACAGAGTGAGAAAACCAGCCCAGTCTTGATGGACTGTCAGGAGGTGGTGGCTTAATGCAGCTTAGATGTCAGGAGAAAATTTGCCTGGGAAGCCAAGCAAAGGAATTAAGGGATCCAGTGCCCTTGATAGAGTCCAGCCTATTCTATCACAGCCAGAATACAGCAGGACCTACAGTTGACTGCAGGCAGCAGGCAGGCACTGGGCAGAGAACAAGATTTGCAAACCACAGCACATTCAAATGATAGGCCATGGAAGAGTTGTTAAGCAAAAAACGAGAGAAAGAGAGACAGCGAGAGAGAGACACAGAGAGAGAGAGAGACACAGAGAGAGAGAGAGATAGAGAGAGAGATGAGAGAGAGAGAGAGAGAGAGAGAGAGAGAGAGAGAGAGAGAGAGAGAGGAGAGAGAGAGAGAGAGGGAGGAGGGGGGGGGGGGGGGGGGGGGGGGGGAAATGCCATTCCGATAATTGGCCTCCCTTTCCATAAAACACTTTCTATCCTGCTCCACGGAAGTCTGAAATAGATCTCTTCCGGGAAGCCACCCGGCTGGGCAGGGTGATGAGTCCTCCTCCGAATCCCAATATGAAGCAGAAGCAGACTAGAAGCCGTTATAAGCTGGGCTTCTATGAACACACTGGACTTCCTGGCACAAAACCTGATCTCCAACCCCGACCAGACCACAAATATTTGGGGGGAGGGAGGAGGGCGAGGGAGAGAGAAGTGTAACCTACCACTTTTCCTAATGTTACCAGCCAGCCAGCCACTAGCCTGGCTATTTTGGAATACGGGGGGTATCTGTTAACCTATAAGACACTTTTAAGAGCTAAGTGCATTGATTGATTTTTGATAACCCCCAAGTTGGAGGAGGAAGCGAATGGGAAAGCTCTTGTGTTCCTATTTTTTAATCTTACCCGGTATTTGTAATCTCTCCCCAATCTATATCGTCCCATTCCGCCTCATGAATTATAAAGCAGGAATCAATTATCCCGGATAGAAACACATAAAATCAGTTTTATACTGGCATTCTCTTTTTACTGGGCTTTCATTCTTGGCTGTGCATATGAGCCCATTGAATGACTCACCAGGCGATAGTTCCACCAGCTCACATTCTTACAGTAAAGTATTGGAGACAAGAGGCACGCTTGATGAAGAAGGAAGTCATACCAATGTGACTCAAAATGACTGTAGGTCTTAACTGTTGTACATGCCCTTTCCTGTTGCCTGCCTTCCCCCCTCGAGAGGAGGAGAGGCGAGGCCAATAGGCCTTGAATGCAGAGCTGAGGCAAGTCAGGGTAGAGACTGTGAGATTGGCACTGTTGAATTATGGGAAAGCCTTGACTAGTGGAAACAGCAGTCAGTGTGGGCTGCCCAGCGAAGGCGTACCGCATGATGAGAAAGGCGTGCTTCCAGCCCACCCAACTCCCATCCACCCACCCACGCACACACACAAACACACTCACTCATCTGTCGTCACCGCTGTGCTGTGCGCAGGCAGGCTAGGCGCTGAGCTCACACACACACTAACGCCAGGATTTCCAGTGAAAAATATCAGCGGGAGAGAAGCCACACTGAGATTTTGACATGCTACTATGTGTTTTACCAGTATGTGTTTTACCAGTATGTGTTTTCTGTCCTCAATCTTTATTATCTTGACATTACTAGGAAGTCAAACTTGCTACATCAATGACACATTCACAAAACCACCAAATATAGGTGTGCTACTGGTCCATTTTATGACAAGGTCTTATCTAACATTAGTGACATATTTTTACTGCAACTATGTGCATCACAGACTTAACAACACACCTGGAGTCCGTCAGCTGCTGAGACAGTACGTCATCGCTGTTGTCAGTGCCATCGACTCTCTCTCTCTCGCTCTCTCTCTGAGGTTGAGGAGGTGAGATCAGACCTGATCCCTTTACTTTCACTATTTATCATATCAGTGACTCACACCAAACCACCGACTCATATTCTTACTGTATTTCAACAGGTCCACAAAGGTACATCAAGTTCATAGGCTACTATTGATCGAAACGCCCATCTGTCAATTTAATCTGTTTATGAGTTAAGTCTATCTATGTTGGCTTCCTGGAGGCAGCTCTCTGTGAATCTCTGTGGTGAGGGGAGAGCCAGAAGAGAGAGCCAGCCAGGGCTCTGCACAGATGGGGGTTTGACTTGACTCTCAATCCAGCCCATGTTGGGTGGGGTTTGCCTGGGCTTGCCTCCCCATACACACAGCGTAGAAGTTGCCAGGAGACCAGAGGGTGTTGGTTTTAATATCCACAGTGCCTAGTGGCGAGCTTGCTTGTTTAAGAAGCTAACATTAAACATGGAAAGAGCCTTGTGTTCATCAGCAGCCTCACTCTTATCTTAGCTCTTCTCTAAACTATATTTGACTGCTCCAGCTTGACATGCAAACAGATCTCATGCACTTTAAAACACAATTCTCCATGTTTTTCCAGGGGCAACCTGTTTAAGTTTCACATTAAACCAGGAGTATGCCAAATGAATTATGTAATCATTGTATGATATCTAAAGCAGGTATACTAAATTATCTATTCATGAAGGCCACTTAAATACAATTATTTAAGAGAGTTCTTACCTGAGTTTCTGTTAAACTCTCCAAAGCTTGCATCACCGACTGTTCTGGTCTTGATGCTTGAGACTTCAAAGAAAGGACAAGGAGAAAAACATGATTTACTTGTAAGCCTAGTAGACAAAGGAGAAAGGCTTGTGCATTCAAAGATATGACTGAGATGAGATCAACACAGACTTAATTACCTACATTAATCTGTCTAATATTAATATCACTGTTATTATCTTGAGCCCAAACAACCCACCTGGGTTTATAGCACAACACACACTTTTGAGTTGTCTGATTATCCTCACCATTAAGCCTGCTTCAACTGTAGGTACAAGTGTTAACTTGCTCCCATCAGATATTCCTAGGTCCTGGAGTTTTCCTGAACTCAGACGCCTGATGGGGAGAAAAAAAAACACCATATTAGTTTAGAGCCAAACTGACATTTTAACTCACTAACTCATGCATTTAGGAACACTTGTGAGCCTATTTACTGGATAGGTTCATTTGTCTTTCTGAATGGTAATTTTCAGGACCTCATCATGTCAAAAAAAGAGAAGTGGAAAAAAGTTAATGTCATGTTCAGGTTGATGAATGATAATGTATTCACATAGACCACTAGCATTGTCACTTTAATGTCACTCTTCTTAACTCTGACAGTAGGCTAGTGGAGGTGTTGCTTTATGAGAAGCCTAGCCTACTGTACTGTACAGTATGAACTAAATGTCACCTCCAGCTGAACAAAGGCAGTCAGCAGCGCCTAAATTCAGCTATTTGGAGAGAGGATTAAAAAAGGTACTCGGTTTTAGGGGATGATTTGATTTGGAGGCGATTATCCTAGGGGGCTGTGGGATGGTTGTTATTTAAAAGAAAAAACTATGCAACAGGGCGATTTGCATCAAATGACAAAGACTACCCTTAACATACCACAGCTCTTACATTGTCATTTAATGCACGAAAATCCGACTCAACTGAAAACCGACTAATACAGTTTCAGTTTACTTTAAATAAAAAAGGTGCAACACACGATTGTAAAGCGTTGTTAAACTATCACCATTGTTCTCGAGAGCTCCCCTTTTCAAAATGGCAATGATGTTCTCTCCATTCATTTGGGATTGTCTCCAGGGGGGTTCCTCGTAATAAAACGTGAGCAGAAACAAATATATACGCGTTCCCTGGCATGCAAGGAGATTGTAGAAAGCTGGTTGTACCCATATATCATGAAATAAGAGGAATTAAAGGGATGCCTTGCGTTTTGCCTTCATCTAACCTTCCTTGCGTATCGATAGCATCAATTAGATTCTAAACCCAAAGCCTCAGTATAATTGTGTATTTATTTAAGATCAAATCCAATGATCAGACGGTAGCTGGACAAATTAAGTAAACATGCACCATTGCGCATATGCATTTCATTCAGCAAATGCATCAATCTCAGCTGTTAATAATTTGTAAAATATATTTAATCATTAATGGTATTTATAATGAACGCTGAAGGAATCAATGCAACTTCCTCATCAATAGGCTACCGCTCCAAACCGTGACTGACCAGTGTGCGTTTACATGCGTAATTCCAATACTGGCCAATATCTGCTTCCCTTGAATTTAGTGCTGATATGCAACCTATGCACTTCTTGATCTCCACAATGTTCTACCATGTAAATAACTGCAAAAGATTCCTATAGAAATCAGAGATTTGTACATAGCAAATACTACATAATGTACGCATTGTTATACCATATGACAGTGGGATATACTTATGTTTATAGATGTAGTGTACTCACGTTTCTTTATGTAGAAGGGCGAGTCTTTCTTTTGGTACTTTGAGTCTCTGAGAAAGTCTTCTCTTCAGTCCTTCCACAGTCTCTTCCAGAGGAAGAGAGAGCTCGAAGCGTGTGCCGGTTGTGGAATGGATGTACAAATTCATGGAGGGTTCACTCGGGACGGCCTCGCAGGACGGAGCCCCGCGGCTGGTGCAGCTCCGGGCGCTAGGATGTTGGTCCATTCGATAGCCTGTGGTCAGGGGGAGAGACAATGCGAGTGGAGCGGGGTTGGGGAGAACGAGCAGACCCTTTACGCAGACCCTTGTCCCTTGTTTTCAGAGAGAGAAACTGCTTGCATTCAAAAGAGAGAAAGAGGCTCTCTCCTGGTGCCTTTCTTTCTCTGTATATCAAGAGTTTCAATAAACCCGAGTCCTCGCTCTTCTGATAAGATCATGAGAATATTCCCAGAACGAGTCTTATAGAGAAAAGCTTTATTGCGATTTTCTTGTGTATGCAGCTTGCTCAAGAGAGGTTCCAACGACAACTCCAAATGTTCCAGATTTTTAAACGCTACAGAGGTGGATGAATGCCAAGCAGCAATACAAGTATTTTTTTCACAGGCAATATGCCACTGACCATCAATTACGCAAATAACTATTGCCTTTCTGAGAGAAAATGCGCAATATAGGATATAGCTTTCTGTCCTTATTATTGTTTAAAATGCATGGGACTGAAAGCTGCTTTGAAGCCAAATACAAGACCTACAGAATGCAAAAGCCTCATAAGATTAATACTGTATAGCTCTCCGCTGTGCATCCATGACCACCGCAGCTCCAATGAAAAATCGACAATGAACATTGTCACAAAGTAGCTCACTTCCACAATGATAAAAACACTCTCACAGTCCGCAGACATTCTACCCAATCACAAGAGAAGTTCTCGAAGACGCTGTTGATCTAAGCCAATGGTAAAAGTAGATTTACACCCACGTGGAGGACAGATGCCGCCCCTTTTCTCTCCCACCCCATTTTGTCACAAAGAACCAATCGGCTTGAAGGGGGCGAGGCCTTGGAGCGTCAAGCAATAGGATCGTTCCAGCACTCAGGCAACTTTAGGCCATTCATAATATATTAGTCACAGAAGACAGAAGACAGCTCTATATGTGGTGGAATTTCAAATCCAATACCGAAGACTGCGCTATTGAAAACATCCTACCTCATATTCTTACATAGATAATTTATGTGGGTAGGTCTTTAAATTTAGGATTATGTTTCATTATAGGTTATGCAGGCTACAATGGCAACAATGCACGTAGGTTGCACAATGCACTTAAATTGCCACATTGTCCATTTCCTATAACTATGTCACGAAATGTACTATTCAATGTTGAGCAACCTCAGGTTACACACGTTGGCTATCATCATCATTACTAATAGTACCGTGCTGACGTCATCCCCTTCCTTCCTCTGGCTGCATCCAAAACCATTAAAGTAATCGCGCACCGTATGCAAATTACGCATTCGATGGGGTATTCCCTTCAGGAAGTGCGGTTCTTCATCAGATCTTTGAGATGTTCTCGGGAGAGAATGTACACTGGAAATATACAGTGTTCGGTTCCTACCTCATGCAATTCCTACAATCAGCTTTACAAGAAAAAGTGCCAATATTGGCTAATCAGTTCGACCGCACATTCATTGCCAACTGCTGGGAAACTATCCCTATGTTTATACACTGACTTCTCTGAATGCACATACTATTTCTTCTGCAACGTAAACTCACATACCCTACTTGGGCGACTGTTATGCTTGTCAACCGCTAAATATCACAGACATCAGGTTACTTAAGATAAGTGCATTCTCCAACCCCAGTTTTAAGCCGTTCCTGCGGATCCTGGAAAAGCTAACTTTGACCGAACCATTGGCTACATAGCTTTAAGAGAAAAGTTTAAAACGGGCCGCTTTGACTACTGTAAATACCGTAGCCTACATAGTAAAGTGCGAAACACGTATTCTATGTAGAGCAAATGTTGACAGATTTTATGATAGGCGCTTGATAAAAACAAGATACTCGCTCGCCATCCAGTGGTCAATGGAGGCACTTGGGGAGCCTTATCTATATGTTGTTGAAGGTGTTTATAACACATTTCGAATGAGAATACAAGTAGGCTAGCCTATCGGCAATTACCCTCTGAGTATAGCTGCAGTTGACTAAGGTCAGTCGGGATAATGATATCATATCACAGACTCTGCACTTGGCGTCTATATAGAGGTAGGCTAGGCGGTAGGCTAGGCTGTGTTGTCGGCTTATAATTACATAACCCATGGATGCGTGCTGTCATCAGCTATTCCATAGGTAATTAAAAAACACCACATTCACTGTCTGCAGATAACACCAATTCCGTTGACAATATCAATTTCATATTTAAGTTAATTGGCTACATATAGTTGCATAATTTAGAAACTCTTAGAAGTTGGCAGAACTCCATTGGAATGCAATACATGTAACCAAAACAAACGGTGAGACAATGTATCAATTTCCGTTATCAAATAGGTGCCCCAGGTTGCCTTTTATAAACATAACAAAGATAAGAGTTACATTTCCAAATCTAACCCACCTCAAATTACCTTTATTCAAAGGTAGGCAATTAAAACTTTAGAATCATCAATGTACATGGTTATCAAATATTAATTATGACTACCTTTAGGTTTGACATGAGTCCAAAGTTTGAATGTAACTTACCAATTATTGTGGCGAGAACTTTAAAGCTTTGCGATAAAGCTTGGGCTTTTCCAACATGTTTCCCCAGCTTTGGCATGTAAATCTTCCCAAACTATGAGAAAGACGGAAGAAGCCTATATCCAGATAGGTCAGTAGGCTATCCACTGTGACAGTAAATTCGCAGACAAATGTGTGCGTCTTGACTGTAGTAAGGACAGCTCTGTACTCCTCTTGCTCACCGCTTGAGTTCCAGTTGTCCTAAAATGCCTGTGTGACGTTTACGCACCAGGGTCTTTCGTATTACAGGCGCAATTCCGGAGGCGAGACACCTTTTAAACGAGCCCTCTCGGATATGGGTGGAGATTAGGCTACGGTTCTTGCTATGTCAGGATGTAATTTAAGGTAGCCACGGAATTCTTCCTCACATGCGAGTTCCTTTCCAAGACCTGCTGCCTAATTCATTCTCCACCTTTGGAAAGAATGTGCTTGGGCAAAGCTTTAAATCATGCACGGGATTTGTAGAGTGTCTGTGAGTGCGCTTCTATTGTAGTGTAAACAAGGGTAAGGACTTTTATCCAGAAGAACAAAGACATTATAAATCATATTCAACTGAGTTACAACCTTAACAAAAAGTAAACGAAGTAGCGATTTCAGGGGGGGGTGTAACCTTCCAATGACGACAGAAAAAAAATAAAAGAAGAAAACATCACTAGGCAACCAGTGCAGGAAAACACAGTGCATGGATACAAGCCTACCTGAATATAAATAAAGGTTTATTTGGCAAGGGACCAGTTCTGCAACTGATGACTTCCCAGTCAATCATCAAACAATGGCAATCCTATGCCAGGAATCATACTTTGACACAGTTATTACACATTTATTACACATTAATACAAGTGATTAATTGTTCCTGTGGTAGGCTTAGACTAGGTATTGTATAATAATAATAATAATATGCCATTTAGCAGACGCTTTTATCCAAAGCGACTTACAGTCATGCGTGCATAACATTTTTTTTTGTGTATGGGTGGTCCCGGGGATCGAACCCACTACCTTGGCGTTACAAGCGCCGTGCTCTACCAGCTTGTGTGCAAACTCTACCAGCTTGTGTGCAAACTTGTCAATAAACCCTTTCCTGAAGTCCACAAGTAGATGTCATACATTAAATTGTAGTTAGTAAAGTTACAGTATAAATACTTATATTAATTTGTGTGTTGTGTCAGTATGGTAGCACGCTGTACAAAGATGTCAATATAGTTTGAAACACAATTATGTGATTTGATAAACCCATGCCCCTTATTTCCTTAAAGAGAGGGGACACAGTCTTGTTGAGGCAAGTGAGGCTAAAGTGTTTCAACGACAAACCCATACCCACAGGCAGAGACGCTGGAGGGATGCCTCTAAAGGAGTCACAGTCTCAAACATCACAGTATGAGTCAGCCTCTCCCAGGACCAGATGGGGGGGAGACCTCAAAAGTAAAACATCTCATTCCAAAATCATGGGCATTAATAAGGAGTTGGTCCCCCCTTTGCTGCTATTACAGCCTCCACTCTTCTGGGAAGGCTTTCCACTAGATGTTGGAACATTGCTGCAGGGACTTGCTTCCATTCAGCCACAAGAGCATTAGTGAGGTCGAGCACTGATGTTGGGCGATTAGGCCTGGCTCGCAGTCTGCGTTTCAATTAATCCCAAAGGTGTTCGATGGGGTTGAGGTCAGGGCTATGTGCAGGCCAGTCAAGTTCTTCCTCATTGATCTCGACAAACCACTTCTGTATGTACCTCACTTTGTGCACGGGGGCATTGTCATGCAGAAACAGGAAAGGGCCTTCCTCAAACTGTTGCCACAAAGTTGGAAGCACAGAATCATCTAGAATGTCATTGTATGCTGTAGCGTTAAGATTTCCCTTCACTGGAATTAAGGCACCTAGCCCGAACCATGAATAACAGCCCCAGACCCTTATTCCTCCTCCACCAAACTTTACAGTTGACACTATGCATTCGGGCAGGTAGCGTTCTCCTGGCGTCTGCCAAACCCAGATGAATCCGTCAAACTACCAGATGGTGAAGCTTGAGTCATCACTCCAGAGAAAGCATTTCAAATGCTCTAGAGTCAATGGTGGCGAGCTTTACACCACTCCAGCCGACATTTGGCATTGCGCATGGTGATCTTAGGCTTGTGTGCGGCTGCTCGGCCATGGAAACCCATTTCATGAAGCTCCCGACGAACAGTTCCGGTGCTGATGTTGCTTGTCCAGTTTGGAACTTGGTAGTGAGTGTTGCAACTGAGTACAGGCGATGTTTACGCGCTACGCATTTCAGCACTCGGATGTCCCGTTCTGTGAGCTTGTGTGGCCTACCACTTCGCAGCTGAGCCGTTGATGCTCCTAGATGTTTCCACTTCACAATAACAGCACTTACAGTTAACTGGGGAAGCTCTAGCAGGGCAGACATTTTACGAACTGACTTGTTGGAAAGGTGGCATCCTATGACAGTGCCACGTTGAAAGTCACTGAACACTTCAGTAAGGCCATTCTACTGCCAATGTTTGTCTATGGAGATTGTATGGCTGTGTGCTAAATTTTATACACCTGTCAGCAATGGCTGAAATAGTCGAATCCACTAATTTGAAGGGGTGTCCACATACTTTTGTATATGTAGTGTAAGAGAGAAGACATTTACGGCACTGAGCACCACACACACACACACACACAATATGGCGAAACACTGATCCTATTGAAGCGCTGAGGCTTTAAGCTACCTCATGATCAGATCGCACACACCCACCCACCCGCACACAACTCAGCTTCCTGGCACTGATACATATGCTGGTTGTCCAGTGTTTACAGGACAATAAAAAGGGTTTCATAATCAGACAAACAGCCTGTTCTCCTCGGGGGGGGAGAAAACTTCCTTGGCTGAGAAGCGGGCATTTTTTTTAGAGGGAGTGACACATTCTACCATCACCCTTTGCTTATTTCTTAAAAGTCTAAGCCGTTGCTAGAATTTTAGGACACCTTTAGGTATCCCCAAAAAATATGGAAAAAATATTTTATAAAATATTGAATTTGGCCTTTACTACTATAGCCCATAAAAACGCATTGAATAACATATTCATAAATGGGAAAACAGTCAAAAAATAAATCACAAGATATAAGGTTTTGAAGTGTCTGTCATGTATCTATCTAGGAGATATAACAAAGCTTTACACATATTTAAACCCTTATTTTTGTTGGCACAAAACTACCTTCACACTTCCATTCATTTGAATGGGTTACCTTTAGATGAGTCCCGTGATACTTGTGGGGGCCGTAGAGCAAAACGGAGAGCACCATCGTGTTCGTGAGAGTCTCCCCTTTCTACAGTGGGGTCATATTTGTAGGCCGAAAAGTTCAGACGCCACAGACAAAAGTTTGTACATCAGCGTTATCGACTTTAGACGAGTCCCGTGAAGCTTGTGGCCAAACCATTCGGATGCTACAGACGTTTTCGTGAGAAAACCGATTTTCGGGATGTCTCCTGGTCTGACAAACAGCGCTGTAGCTCTGCCACTTTCCACTGCAGATGTGGAAGGGCGACATAGGCGGATGTGGTGGATTGAGACGCAGCCCATGTAAAAAAAACTAGCTTAAATTGACAGATTTTGATGGGGATGTTTTAAATTATGTTACATAGATTGAGGGGTTAATAGACTCTAGGGGGTTATAGGGCAAATATTATCATAGGGATCAGAAAATCAGAAGAAAACAGCCATACAGACGGACTACTGTATGTGGTAGGATAACCATGTGTAGGCATATTAACAGAGTTACCATATACAGGACACATGGCAACTTCTCACATACTTCAGGACAGGAAGGAGTTTATTGACAAGGGAGCATGGGAGTGGTGTGGGTGGGTTGTAAACATTTCACATTTGATATCAGATGTGTGTGACAGATAGTGAATGTGCGTGTGTGTGTTTGTTTGTGGGAGAGTGTGACAGTTAAACGTGTGTGTGTGAGGGGCCTGTGTGGGCATATGTGTGTGTGGGTGAACAGCATTCCAGTCCATCAAAGTCACCAGTGGGCCGCCCTCGGCTTCGGAGAAAGAGACAAGCCGGATTTAAGCGGTTCACGGCTTGTTAATCTCAAGGCAGTGGGACACACCTGCCACAGCCCAATGACACTGTATATAAAGACAGGAAGTGGATACACAGACCCAGATGAGTGAGCCGTAAAGATCTACGGTGTGGGAAGTTAACCAACCTGAGAGTTTAGAGATGAGTCAGAACTTGAGTTATTAAAGTAAGTCATATATTGTTATTCAGATCATATATCCCATGGCAGATCATCAAAACTCTTAGAATACATGGAGTTGACTTATAGGAAAGCTCCCACTCACCACTACAACCAGTTATCTGATCCCCAGGCCTGTTTGAAGAGAGAGCCTGGAAAGTAGTAGGGCTGGAGGGGTGGGGTGGGGTACAGTCAGGGCTCTGATCCCACACCTGCACCAGGAGGAGCTCCTTTGAACTGAAGTGGTTCTCAGCTCACAGTCACAGATGATTGATGACACATCAGTGGTTTTCCAGACGACAGCACAGAACATGCAATTGAAAAATTGTCAAACGTGCCAACTAGGTTATTCAATGTTCACATTATAAATGGTTAGACTAATTAGTCAAACATGGTTTCCAGAATAAGTAATCGCCACCATTTGTCATGTTTTAAAAATATATGTGTACACTACAAATCCATACAACAAAAAAATCCATTCATGTATAATCTCTCACTACTGTTTAATTTTGAACCAGAAACCTGGTAGCCTCTTGATTGAATAGGGCCCCAGGGCATTATGGATACAGTCCAAGCATTTCACCATCAGGCTGACATTTACTCCATACAACATATGGCAGTTACAGGGTATCTTGACACATTGCTCTTCTATCTTTCAACTGCTGTTGAACAACATTTGAGGTGTCATCACATGATCACAGTCTTGGTCAACACATTCCTAAGTGTCAGTTATAGCAGGATAAATGTACATTGTCTACTGTGTAATCAAATAAATAATTTGTCAATGATAGGTCATTCAACTGTTGAGTAACATGACTAGCTCTTACACCTGGACCAGCGTCTGTAGGCAGGGCTGAGTCAATCAGGAAGAGAAGTGTGGAACTATGAGCCTGGCCCTCCAGGCAGCACTGTCAACGATGGCTATCAAAACATCAATTACCTCACCATCCATGACTAAGAATTCTGACTGGAATTCTAACTATGTGGTACAGTATGTACTGTACTGCTGCTACATCAT